TTAAAAACTAGGGAAATATAGTTTTTGTCGAGACTTTGTCCGTAGTAATTTGTATATTATAATTATCTTCTGATACATTGAAAAATGTATAGTTGTCATACAATAATTTTTATTTTAGGTTTCCTTATCCACCTGCAAGCATATTATTGTCGAAAGGAAATTTCCATGATCTCCGAAAATTTGTAGCGAAAATTACAAGTTATGTCTATAAACAATTTTCTAAACCAATTTCCAACAGGATATCGAAGGCTGGACTTGTAGATCTACTCCACAAGTAGATGATCATAGTTTTTATAACCGATTTTACAAGACTGAGAAATTAAGACCATAAATAAGACACACCACATGGATATGGTTGGAAATCATATTAGCTGATGGAATATTTTATTAATACGGGTGTGACATGTGATAGAATGTTCTAGAATATATTTTACTGAAAAGATGCATCCTTTCAAATATGCATTTAAGTACTTGGTTTCGGAAAGTCGAATTTCTATCCAGTTTTATTCACTTGAAAGTTTAGTTATTCAGATATAATTTATGAACGACTACTTTTTCAACACTGTCACTACAAAATCGAGCAATTCTAACCCCTACTATACTACTCTAACTATACTTTAAAGTCCTCTATCTGACACTAAACGCCGTCCATATTGTAGCTAGCTTCAGCCAACTTTGCACGCTGCAAGAGCTACACATTCGCTCTCCGCAATTTTGATACTATCCCTCCTCTGGACAATCTTAACAATTTTCCAAATCTGCACCATTCTAGTCACCCACAGCTCCTATCCGCCAGCTTTAGTCGATGCTCTTCTTGTCAACTTTGCTGCTGCTCTGTCCTCCGTCATCTAGCTAGTTGGTCGACTCCAGAGCATCCCACCATGTTAATACCAATCTTTAGAACATGCCTATACATTCTCCTTATTGGTGGCAAAAGTATGATAAGAAAGGGTCATATTGGCTGTGCTCGCTTCTCATCTCCATCTAATTACTCTACTTCAAAAAATGTTTAATGTGTTCTCAACAGAGGGATGTCATAATATATATTAAGATTTGGGTTCATTATTTAAATGTCCACATTATTAAAAGTAATAGTCCAAACACTTTATGTTGGTTATTAATTCGATTTTTTATCGATGTGAGATATATTCCTTAACAGGTCCACGCAAGATGGTGACTTGTTTAACAACCCCAACCTTGAAATTCGTGTGATTGTTTAAGTCTTGGTTGGATTGAACTGCTTGTTCGAATTTAATGAGCTATGATATCATATTAAGATTTAGATTTCCACATGAAAAGTTGAACCTTATTAAAAGAATATTCCAAACCCGTTAATTAATAATTTGGTGTTTAATCAGTATAAGAATATTCTTTAATAGATACTACATACAACAAAAATTATTCTTGGCATCACAGAGTGAATTTCTAAATAATGAGCAATTCTTGGTCCCTTTTTTGCCCCCCTTCCCTTATTAATTAATTTCAACTGTATTTCTGTACTGCATGCATTATATGAACTATATGTTAAATACATGAGAAGATTCCTTCAATAAATTATTTGTGTTGCTCTCTCATTAAAATCTTGCTTACAATACGAATTAACAATATAATGCACGTAAAAATATGTTATTTTTGTAAACTTTCTTCCTCTATACCTCTGAAAAATAATCCCCATTAGTAATTCGTTACTAAAATATAAAAGATAGATATCATTATCCTTCAAGGCCCAAAAATAAGTAATTAACTGCATTCAAATATACTAACTAACCAGCAGTATTGTTTTCACTGGTGAGTAATTGAATTTAATGTGGAATACGTATTTGAAGTTTTCAACCCTTTTGTCCAT